CAAAAAAAGGAAGTTCTTTACGAAAAATCAAATGCTTTAATGATTATTCGCGACGTATGAAATTAGATTCCTTGCTTCATTGCTTCCAGCTGATGTGATACATCGAAAGCTGTCAGATGTGAAGGTTCATGGTTACATGAAACTACTGACTTCATTTTTCTGTTATCTGAATGAACTGAAATCTTAATTAATGTTCATGGAATATTATGTTTGGTCATGTATCACTCTAAATCAGCTCTTATCACTTTGTCAAGCTTGAATATTGGAACGCCGAGATTCAGGAATCAACTGTGATCGATCAAGGAAAGGAGGGTTTCACTTCTGATGGTTGGGCGGCCTTCGAAAGTGCACCGTCAGGTAGTGTCGTCGAGTCTAAAGAAGACGAATCAGATGAATGGGCTGCTGATTTCAGCAGTGCACCGTATGCGCCTCCTTCCATGCAGTCTGCCAGCAAACAATCGCAGATCAATGAAAACTTTGGGGAATACGATGAAGTTAGTTGCAGTCATTTTACTGCTTGCAAAAAGATGTCAACCAGATCAGATTGTCATCTGTACCGCATACAATAGGCATTGATTAAGGTGTTACTTCTGATGTTATGGTGATGAATTATTGCTTTGTTGAAAGCACTGAATTAGTCTCATATTCAGTGAAATTATATTAGGCCTGAGTTCAGGTGATGCAGTCAGTGGCTAATGAAATTGGATATTGAATAGGTTCATAATGAATCAGTTGTTTTATTGTCGTCATCTGAAGCGAAATTGCGTTGTCAGTTGCCGTATAAACTTGATCTCTTGCTGTTTGGACGTTTGGATTAATGGAGGTTCCACTGTGTAGTGCAAATGATAGGTCATCGAATAAATATTCCATTTGCAGGCGTCATTACCATCATTGTGCAATATTTACAAGGCTGATCGAGTGAAGGAATGGGTTGTGGATAACGTTCAGTGGCAAGATGAGAAAGGAAATGAAATTGAAGAAGATGCCACTTCAGAAAACGATTGTTGCAAGAATGAATTCGAAAATGTTTTAGAAGATTTGCAAGAAACACGACATGCTGTTGATAGTCTGAAGTATGTATAACTTGTTATCTGATCTTCTCAGTTTCATATTTCAGTCGCAGTTAGCTACTTTCAACAGAATATATGAAAAGAAAACTGCTTGTTCTTCAAATCCCGAACCTGATAGCGACAAAAGAATTCTTTCGGTCACTAATAAATTTCTATCTGTTTCAGAGCATGGCAGTCTCTGTGGTTAGCAATTGGTGTAGTTGAAGAAGCATTAGCATTGAAAATGCAGTGGTCACATTCTTCGTTTTATTCCAGCTTTTTAGATTCATTGAATCTAGATGCTAATTTGGTTAGTTCTTTTATAAATTCTTTCATTTTTGTTGATTCCCGAGTATAATCTTTACCCCAAGACGTGAAACCTAACAGAGAAGTATGAACGGTGATGTTTCGAGCCGTTTAGAAGGAGAATCTGATTGCTTATGGACGTAAGCAAATCGCTCACTTCCATCAATATTGCAACATTGTTTAGCTTTTTCATCGAAAATTCCCTAAATGATTCATCTATTGAGCAAAATTTTCGGTGAGAATCTTTCAAAAAAGAATTTTGAAAGACTGATCCTGTCCTGCATGAAAATCTTATTTGCAGGCAACGCTTCGAAATTCTGCTCTTCCCGCATTCGCGCAACAGCTCGGCGAAAGT